ATCAATGAGCTTTCCCTCCCCACCTCCATCAATGAGCCTTCCCTCCCCACATCCATCAATGAGCCTTCCCTCCCCACCTCCATCAATGAGCCTTCCTTCCCCTCCTCCATCAATGAGCCTTCCCTCCCTACCACCAACAATGAGCCTTCCCTCCCCACCACTAACAATGAGCCTTCCCTCCCCAACTCCTCCAATGAGCCTTCCTTCCCCCACCCCTATCAATGAGCCTTCCCTTCCCCACCTCCATCAATGAGCCTTCCCTCCCCACCACCATCACTGAGTCTTCCTTCCCCACCTCCATGAATGAACCTTCCCTCCCCACCTCCATCAACGATCCTTCCCTCCCCTCCACCTCCATCAATGAGCCTTCCCTCCCCACCTCCATCAATGAGCCTTCCCTCCCCACCTCCATCAATGAGCCTTCCCTCCCCACCTCCATCAATGAGCCTTGGCCACCCATGAACCTTTGACCGGTTTTCCTTTCTCTGACCACTTTTGGTTGGTCCTGACCACTGCAGACCGGGAATATCCCACAGGAGCTGCAGTTTTGGAATTGCTCTGATCCAGTCGTCTAGACATTATAATTTGGTTGTTGACAAAGTCCCTCAGATCCTTACACTTGTCTGTTTTTTCTGCTTTCATCGCATCAACTTTAGGGACAACATGTTCACTTGTTGCCTAATATATCCCGCCCACTTCCTGGTGTCATTGTAAGGAGATAATCCATGGTATTCACTTTACCTGTCAGTGGTCAGAATGTTATGGCTGATCTGTGTAGAACCCCGGAAGTTGAATGCTATGAAGTGTCTACTCTGAAGCTGTGAAAGTAAAACCTTGAAAAGTTTATTGGACTTCCCTCTCCTGGTTACTGACAGTCACTCTTAGGACCGGAGACCTGGTTCTGCTGGGAAGAATCGAGGTGAAGCGTTGGGTATGGTGATGTACAGTACATGTGCGGTAAATGTACACTTTACTGCTCTCTCCAGGAGAGGGAACTCACACTGATGTGTAACTAGGTATCACGTACCTGGTGATGGAGGCCAATGGAGAGAGGGCTTCCCTTGCAGCTAAGTTCCGGACCCCCCTGAGAGTGACAGCGGTAGTCAGGCCCAAAGTGGCACAGGTTGCCTGTAGGAGTGCTGGTTGATGGTCCACCACCAGAGCACGGCTGATGAGGTCTGCAGACAGGAGGCGCCTGTGCGTGGTATGCAAGCCACCATAGGGTGTCAGTGAGAAGAATAGTGCCCCAATATTTGTGTCAGTGGGAGGAAAAGTGCCTCATCGTTGGTGTCAGTGGGAGGGACAGTGCCCCATCATTGGTGTCAGTGGAAGGAACAGTGCCCCATCATTGGTGTCAGTGGGAGGAATAGTGCCCCATCATTGGTGTCAGTGGGAGGAATAGTGCCCCATCATTGGTGTCAGTGGGAGGAATAGTGCCCCATCATTGGTGTCAGTGGGAGGAATAGTGCCCCATCATTGGTGTCAGTGGAAGGAACAGTGCCCCATCATTGGTGTCAGTGGGAGGAATAGTGCCCCCCCATAGTGCCCCTTTGTGTCAGTGGAGGAATAGTGCCCCATCATTGGTGTCATTGGGAGTAATAGTGCCCCATCATTGGTGTCAGTGGGAGCAATAATTCCCCATCATTGGTGTCAGTAGGAGGAATAATGCCCCATCATTAGTGTCAGTGGGAGTAATAGTGCCCCATCATTGGTGTCAGTGGGAGAAATAGTGCCCATCATTGGTGTCAGTGGAAGGGTGTCAGTGGAAGGAATAGTGCCCTGTCATTGGTGTCAGTGGGAGGAATAGTGCCCCCAATTTTGGTGTCAGTGGAAGGAATAGTGCCCCATCATTGGTATCAGTTGAAGGAATAGTGCCCCATCATTGGTGTCAGTTGAAGGAATAGTGCCCCATCATTGGTGTCATTAGGAATAATAGTGCTCCATCATTAGTGTCAGTGAGAAGAATAGTGCCCCATCATTGGTGTCAGTGAGAGGAATAGTGCCCCATCATTGGTGTCAGTGGGAGAAAAAGTGCCCCATTATTAGTGTCAGTGTGAGCAATAGTACCACAGCCACAGTGTTAGATTGATGGTGTCAGTGGGAAGAATAGCACCTTGTATTGGTGGAAAGAATAGTGCCCCAAGGGCAAGCAAAGGGCAAAAGGGCGCTAAACTCCTCGTGCGCCTAGTCTAGACCCGCCAATGCTCTCACCTCAACGACAACAACCTCCTCAATCCCCTACAGTCCACCGAAACCGCCTTACCCAAACTCTCCAATGACCTGCTAACCGCCAAAGCTAATGGCCACTATTCAGTCCTTCTACTCCTTGACCTCTCTGCGGCCTTCGACACCGTCCACCACCCCCTCCTCCTCAAAAAACTACACTCCCTCGGCCTTAGAGATTCTGCTCTCTCCTGGCTCTCCTCCTACCTGTCACAACGCTCCTTCAGTGTTACCTATAATGCTACCACCTCCCCCTCTCTCCCCCTCTCTGTTGGGGTCCCTCAAGGCTCCCTCCTCGGGCCCCTTCTCTTCTCCATCTATACCTCCTCCCTTGGCCAACTCATACACTCTCACGGCTTCAACTATCACCTCTATGCCGACGACACACAAATCTAGCGCTCAACCCCCCACCTCACCCCCTCAGTCTCCGCCCGAATCACACGCCTACTGATATCAGACTGGATGTCGCTCCACTTCCTTAAACTGAACCTCTCCAAAACCGAGTTTCTTGTCTCCCCCCCCCCCCCAGCCCGGACCCCACCCCCCATTGACTTCTCCATCACATCCAACAACGCCACCATCAAACCCGCCCCGCAGGCCAGAGTACTTGGTGTCATTCTGTACTCCAACCTATCCTTCCAGCCCCAAGTCCAATCTTTAACAAACTCGTGCAGACTCCACCTCCACAACATGCAGACTCCACCTCCGCAACATGCAGACTCCACCTCCGCAACATGCAGACTCCGCCTCCGCAACATCGCCAAAATCCGCACGTTCCTAACCCCAGAAACCACTAAACAGCTCATCCACTCCCTCATCATATCACGACTCGACTACTGCAACTCCCTCCTCACTGGCCTGCCTCGCCGCTGGCTATCCCCGCTTCAGTCCATCCTGAATACGGCTGCCAGACTCATTCACCTTTCCAACCGCTCCATCTCCACCACCCCCCTCTGCCAATCCCTCCACTGGCCTCCACTCAGTGTCCTCCACCCCCCTCTGCCAATCCCTCCACTGCCTCCGCTCAGTGTCCTCCCCCCCCCTCTGCCAATCCCTCTACTGGCCTCCACTCAGTGTCCTCCACCCCTCTCTGCCAATCCCTCCACTGACCTCCACTCAGTGTCCTCCACCCCCCTCTGCCAATCCCTCCACTGGCTTCCGATTGTGCAACGGATCAAATTCAAAATGCCCACCTCCAGGACTTCTCCAAGGTGTTACCCATCCCCTGGAACTCCCTGCCCCAACCCATCAGATTATCACGTACTCTCCTCTCCTTTAGGCGCACCCTGAAAACCCATCTCTTCAGGGAAGCCTACCCCACCCCCTGCTAACCTGCCGACCTCCTCCACTCTTCCTACCACTCCATCCCCCACAGCTATCTCCTCCTGTGCCATCCCCTCCCTCCTAGATTGTAAGCTCCAAGGAGCCGGGCCCTCAATCCCCTCATGTTTTGTATTGTATTGGTATTGTCTGTCACATGTTCTGTCCCCCTTTGTAATGTACAGCGCTGAGCGAACTATTGGCGCTTTATAAATACTGTATATAATAATAATAATATTTGGCCCCCGGGCCCCAGTTTGGAGACCACTGCTGTAAACTAAAGATCTATACTTACCTATTCTCCGGTCTGGTCACATGATCCCTCCAGCGCCGGCTTCAGTGAAGAGGAGAGATCACCGACAACGGCTGCAGGACCCGGGTGATGACATCATCATTAGTCTTCGTTGTTGGCCATTCCTCCTCTACATGGAAGCTGGCCCCGGGACCCGATCATGTGACCGGACCCCAGATTAGGTAAGTACACCGATCTTTCATGATAGACAGAACAGGCTTAGAATGGGTGGGGGTGGATTTAGGGACAGTCAGTGATTGGCTGACCTTCCAATGTGATCTTTGATCGGTATGAATATTGGCGCGGGTTCCAGGCGTATCGTTCCGTGTTCCGTCCCCTCGGCTCTCTCCTCTACATTTCCTGACTCCTAGACTGGCAAGGGTGTCACCTCCCTCCCGCCACGCTCTAAGCCATCATTCTCACGAGTGCGTCTGCAAATAAAATCCGCCATCAATCTGCGTTTCATTGGACGGTGGGTTATTGATTAGCGCCCCAGGTAAGTATGATAATGACAAGTGGAAGGAGAAGCCCGGCTCCATGAATCCTTCGAGGACGGTATAAGTTCTGTGAACATCGGAGAACTACGAGACAAATGAATGTGATGTCCAGACATTGACAACATGGCGCTCAACATGGGCTAATCGATGACACCGACTCCACCAATGGCCCCAGGTGGTCTTCCATGAGCGTCCCCGGAACATTGACAGAGCTGGATGTCTCATTCTGTATGGATCGCTCTTCTCCGGGATTCTGGACTTTTACAGGTTTTTTTTTTTGCCTCTTTTTCATTTGTATTTAATTCTTTTTAATGGACAGAGATGAGTTACGGCAGCAATAAAGTTCCCTGAACCCTACAGAGAAAATCAGCTCCCGGGATGGTTCTCCGATCATATGCAGCCCTCAAGGGGAACGAAGGCCTTCACACCCGTCATAATGCTGCCGCCAGACTCATCCACCTTACTAACCGTTCTGTAACCCCTCTCTGCCATCCCTCTCTGCCAATCCCTCCACTGACCTCCATTAGTGTCCTCCACCCCTCTCTGCCAACCCCTCCACTGGCCTCCATTTAGTGTCCTCCACCCCTCTCTGCCAATCCCTCCACTGGCCTCCATTCAGTGTCCCTCCACCCCCCTCTGCCAATCCCTCCACTGGCCTCCATTCAGTTTCCTCAACCCCTCTCTGCCAATCCCTCCACTGGCCTCCACTCAGTGTCCTCCACCCCTCTCTGCCAATCCCCTCCACTGGCCTCCACTCAGTGTCCTCCACCTCTCTCTCTGCCAATCCCTCCACTGGCCTCCATTCAGTGTCCTCCACCCCCCTCTGCCAATCCCTCCACTGGCCTCCACTCAGTGTCCTCCACCTCTCTCTGCCAATCCCTCCACTGGCCTCCACTCAGTGTCCTCCACCTCTCTCTCTGCCAATCCCTCCACTGGCCTCCATTCAGTGTCCTCCACCCCTCTCTGCCAATCCCTCCACTGGCCTCCATTCAGTGTCCTCCACCCCTCTCTGCCTCTGCCAATCCCTCCACTGACCTCCATTCAGTGTCCTCCACCCCTCTCTGCCAATCCCTCCACTGACCTCCATTCAGTGTCCTCCACCCCTCTCTGCCAATCCCTCCACTGGCCTCCACTCAGTGTCCTCCACCCCTCTCTGCCAATCCCTCCACTGACCTCCATTCAGTGTCCTCCACCCCTTTCTGCCAATCCCTCCACTGACCTCCATTTAGTGTCCTCCACCCCTCTCTGCCAACCCCTCCACTGGCCTCCATTTAGTGTCCTCCACCCCTCTCTGCCAATCCCTCCACTGGCCTCCATTCAGTGTCCTCTACCCCCCTCTGCCAACCCTCCACTGACCTCCATTTAGTGTCTTCCACCCCTCTCTGCCAATCCCTCCACTGGCCTCCACTCAGTATCCTCCACCCCTCTCTGCCAACCCTCCACTGACCTCCATTTAGTGTCTTTCCACCCCTCTCTGCCAATCCCTCCACTGGCCTCCACTCAGTGTCTTCCACCCCTCTCTGTCAATCTCTCCACTGGCCTCCACTCAGTGTCCTCCACCCCTCTCTGCCAATCCCTCCACTGGCTTCCCATTGCCCAACGGATAAAATTCAATAACAATAATGTATAAAGTCATTTATAACTCCGCCCCAAATTACATCACTGATCTTGCCCCCAAATATCACCCAAACCGTCCTCTCCGCTCCTCGCACAACTTCCTGCTCTCTAGCTCCCTTGTCTCCTCCTCCCATGCTTGGCTCCAGGACTTCTCCAGAGCTTCCCCCATCCTCTGGAACTCTCCACCCCAATCTATCAGACTATCGCCTACTCTGCTCACTTTTAGGTGATCTCGGAAAACCGATCTCTTCAGGGAAGCCTATCCTGCCCTCAGCTAATACTGGAATCTTCTACTCCTCCTACCAGTCCATCCCCCACAGTTACTACCTTTTGTACCACTAGCCCCTCCCTCCTAGATTGTAAGCTCCCAGGATCAGGGCCCTCCTATCCCTCTTGTATTGAACTGTATTGTTGCTGTATTGTCTCCCGTTATATTGTAAAGTGCTGAGCAAACTGTTGGCGCCATAAATCCTGTATACTAATAATAATAATAATAATAATAATAATAATAATAATACCGGCTCCACCGCCTTAGGCCACCACACAGGTCCCATAAATGTGATAGGTAGCCCTGGACGGGACCCGAAGAGGTAAGTATAACAGGTCAATAAGTGCTGCAGCCCAGGGGTGTATTTAGGTTTCATGCTGCCCCAGGCAACGCAAAAATCGGCTCCCCCCCTTGGAGAGTCCCTGATACTGACAAACACCCCCCTCCACCATGATAAGACCCTGACATTGACCAACAACCCCTCCATCCGAAAGAGCCTTCCACTACCACCCCTCCCCATACACCGACAACCCTCCACCCCATCCCGGCGAGAGAGAAGACAGTCACCATCACAGCTCCGGACATCCCCGGGAACAAGAGTCAGGCTCTGCATACACCATCAAGCAGCCCGCAGCCTCTCTCAGATCCCACCTGGTCCCCATGTTGCGTGTGTCCCTTCTTCCATCCCTTCTTTTGGGGGGCAACTCTGCCCCCCTGAAAAATGCTGCTGCCCCCCTTAAAAAACGCCGCCCTAGGCAAATGCCTTGTTTGCCTTGTGGTAAATACGCCCCTGGGTGCAGCAAGTTGTAAGGGTCCCATTCCACATTTCCCCTCTATTCTGTCCTTTTGCAGCCAGAGCCGTTTTTGCATATTGGTTTTTCACACATCTAAAAAATAATTTTAGGCCTGAAGATTACACAAAACCCCCTCAACATATGTTTTATATATACTCTATTTATATATTTATAGAATTTGTATACATTATATATTTTCTGAAAGCAGACACCCTAGAGCAGCGGTCTCCAAAGTGCGGCCCAGGGTCCAGATGTGGCCCTTTCTTTGCCTGGGCCTTCTGGGCCTTGGGTGCTATTTCTCCTACTGACACCAACAATGGGGCAAAATTCCTCCACCGATAATGGGCACTATTCCTTTCACTGACACCAACGATGATGCATTCCACCCACTAATACCAATGCTGAGGCACTATTCCTCCCACTGACACCAAGAATGAAGCATCCCCTCCACTGACACCAATGCTGGGGCATTATTTCTCCACTGACACTAATGATGGGGCACTATTCCTCCCAATGACTCCAATGATGGGACACTATTCCTCCCACTGACACCAATGATGGTGCACTATTCCTTTAACACCAAGGATGAAGCATTCCCTCTACTGACACCAATGATGGGGCACTATTCCTCCCACTGATAGCAATGATGGGGCACTATTCCTCCCACTGACACCAATGATGGGGCACTATTCCCCCACTGACACCAATGACGGGGCACTATTCCCCCACTGACACCAATGACGGGGCACTATTCCTCCCACTGACACCAATGATGGGGCACTATTCCTCCCACTGACACCAATGATGGGGCACTATTCCTCCACTGACACCAATGATGGGGCACTATTCCTCCCACTGACACCAATGATGGGGCACTATTCCTCCACTGACACTAATGATGGGGCACTATTCCTCCCACTGACACCAACGATGGGGCACTATTCCTCCCACTGACACCAATGATGGGGCTCTATTCCTCCCACTGATACCAATGATGGGGCACTATTCCTCCCACTGACACCAATGATGGGGCACTATTCCTCCCGCTGACACCAATGATAGGACACTATTCCTCCGATGACACCAATGATGGGGCACTATTCCTCTGATGATACCAATGATGGGGCACTATTCCTCCCACTGACACCAATGATAGGACACTATTCCTCCGATGACACTAATGATGGGGCACTATTCCTCCCACTGACACCAATGATAGGACACTATTCCTCCGATGACACCAATGATGGGGCACTATTCCTCCGATGATACCAATGATGGGGCACTATATTCCTCCGATGACACCAATGATGGAGCTCTATTCCTCCCACTGACACCAATGATGGGGCACTATTCCTCCCACTGACACCAATGATGGGACACTATTCCTCCCACTGACACCAATGATGGGGCACTATTCCTCCCACTGACACCAATGATGGGGCACTATTCCTCCCACTGACACCAATGATGGGACACTATTCCTCCCACTGACACCAATGATGGGGCACTATTCCTCCCACTGACACCAATGATGGGGCACTATTCCTCCCACTGACACCAATGATGGGGCACTATTCCTCCCGCTGACACCAATGATAGGACACTATTCCTCTGATGACACCAATGATGGGGCACTATTCCTCCCACTGACACCAATGATAGGACACTATTCCTCCGATGACACCAATGATGGGGCACTATTCCTCCCACTGACACCAATGATGGGGCACTATTCCTCCCACTGACACCAATGATGGGGCACTATTCCTCCCACTGATATCACAGTCTGGCTCCCTTAAATTCTGAAGGACAATTAACTGGCCCTTTGTTTAGAATGTTTGGAGACCCCTGCCCTAGAGAATGAAAATTTAATAGTTCCAATTTATCTTTATTTTTTTATTTTTTTTTTTTAATTTTTCATTATTTTTATGTCACACGATTACCACAAAGGTGTAGGATACACAAAATTTCAGTTAAAAAAAACACAACAAATTAATTTTAGAGCAATCAAAAGCAATAAATTACCAACATTTTGTTGTAAAATATAAAAGACGAGGTTGCACCGAGTAAATAGACACCCAACATGCCAAACCTTAAATTTGTGTGCGCCTGTTAAACGGCGACAAATGTCCGTCCCTGATATTTTCTATAGGCGACGCTTCCAAAGCCCCCTACAGGTCATCAGTATAAAAATACAATAGAAAGGGGAGCGCTCTCTAACTAGCAGCTAAAGCACCAAAGGTATCCAATATAAAACCCTCAGGAAATAATACTAAATAAATAGGTGCAGCGCTAAAATCATGAATATATAAATAATGTCCAAAAACATATAAATACGTTAAAATTATATGCCAAGAATCAATCAAATTATAAAGTGACAGTCTGTGCAGATCTGGGTGCGAAATAGCAGTAGAATCTAGTAATGGTGCTCCAAATAGTGCGGTAAAATTACGTACTCACCAGATGCATAATGTATATACGCATTAAATGAATCTGTAGAGGTCCCCTTTAGGAGATGGATATGATCCTGGTCCAGGATAATCCCCCCTCTAGGTAAGGTGGTGCTGTCAGGAGCTCACAGGAAAATACAGGATCCAGCTGGCCAGTGATCCCTTTAAGGGGTAGATGCCTGCTTTAACCCCTCGCCTACCGGACACTTCTACCCCCTTCCTGCCTACAGGGAACTTCTACCCCCTTCCTGCCTACCGGACACTTCCACCCCCTTCCTGCCTACTGGACACTTCCACCCCCTTCCTGCCTACAGGGAACTTCTACCCCCTTCCTGCCTACAGGACACTTCTACCCCCTTCCTGCCTACCGGGCACTTCTACCCCCTTCCTGCCTACCGGACACTTCTACCCCCTTCCTGCCTACAGGGCACTTCTACCCCCTTCCTGCCTACACAGGGCACTTCTACCCCCTTCCTGCCTACCGGGGACTTCTACCCCCTTCCTGCCTACCGGGCACTTCTACCCCCTTCCTGCCTACAGGGCACTTCTACCCCCTTCCTGCCTACAGGGCACTTCTACCCCCTTCCTGCCTACAGGACACTTCTACCCCCTTCCTGCCTACTGGACACTTCTACCCCCTTCCTGCCTACCAGACACTTCTACCCCCTTCCTGCCTACAGGACACTTCTACCCCCTTCCTGCCTACCGGGCACTTCTACCCCCTTCCTGCCCAGGCCAATTTTCAGCTTTCAGTGCTGTCACACTTTGAATGACAATTGCGCGGTCATGCAACACTGTACCCATATGACATTTTTATCATTTTTTTTGAGACAGATAGAGCTTTATTTTGGTGGTATTTAATCACTTCGGGGATTTTTTTTTTTTTTTTTAAACAAACCAAAAACCACTGAAAATTTTGAAAAAAAAATGTTTTTTCTTAGTTTTTGTTATACAATTTTGTAAATAAGTGATTTTTCTCCTTCACCGATGTGCGCTAATGAGGCTGCAGTGATGGGCACTGGTAGGTTGTACTGATGGGCATTGCCAGGCATCACTGATTGGCGCTGAAAGGCAGCACTCATACATGACACTGATATATGGCACTGATAGGTGGCACTGACTGGCACCGATGGGTGACATTGAAAGGCAGCTCAGATGGGCACTGATATGT